TATTGATTGAAACCCTCAATTATCAAGAATGAAAATCAAAGTGTCTTTATTTTCTTCAGTTGACGATATCAACAAACAACTAATAGAACGTTGAATAACCTTCTCTTTTCGTGTCTTTATTTACTAAAGTATCACTCAACAGATAAAAGAGAAAAGCGTGACATCTTCTTTTCCACTTTTTGAAAGTATTTGCTCTTATGAAAATTCTAAAATTTGGACTAGATAAGGGCAAAAGCATACTCCCATGTGTCTTTTATTTACATATTCATCACTGAATTATGCCCCAACGATATATATATATTCTTACGATAAGTTTTAACTGATACGACTAAATTACTTAATTTGATGGATATATCAAATGCGAGTATAAAGTGTTGGACCAACGACATGTATGCCTAATGCCTGTAAAGGGGATCACAGATAGGTCCATGCTAAAGCTTGTCTTTACTCATGATTCCTTTTGGTCGAAAGGACATCTTTTGAAGAAGAAAAAATTGCTTTTAAAATTACTTGCTTATTTGAAATGTGAAATATTTATTATAAAGGGATTGTTACACAAATGACCGGCCAGATTAAATGTTATGCAATGTTTTTTTTGCTGCTATGTATAAATTATATATTGGTTATTTTTTGTTTAAGATATTAGGGTTGGCTATTTCGGTTAATACTTCTATTATAAACAACCATATCTAACACCCTCGAAGGCCATATTGACATTAAATGTCAGGAATGCCTTTTCATATTTGAAACTTTGCCAATTAACTTATATTTGTGCATATGCCACATGATTTTAGCACTAAAAATCTCTTTCATTTTGCACCACAACTCTCTCTCCGTCACCATCGTACCAAATAATTTTTTTTTTTCAAAAAATCCTATCATATTTGGCGAGCCTAGGTGCTCATAATGAATATTTCTTTAGACTCACGATGTGCAGCAGAAAATCCATATTGGGTGCCACTTGCCAAAGTCAACATGTAATACAGGTGATGTCCAATAAACCACAATTCAAATGGCTACATTAAAAGTTCGATTTACACTCTTTTCCTATGAACTAATTTGGCCGAGGAAAAAAAGAAAGAGGATAGAGAGGTACGAAAGAGTAGGAGATAAAAGAGGAAAGTTAGCGGGTTAATAGAAATTATTTCCTCTCCCCAATGGAAGAACCATAAAGCTAGGTATGCTAGAATTTTTTTATTTTTTATTTTTTGTAAAGGTCGTGCTCGTGGCAATTTAAGCCCGGAATAATTCAAAAATACCTCAGACTAATCTATTGAGTATATTAGATCTTTATCTAATGCACAACTAGAGAGTAATTTTTTCGACCAAAACTTAAAAAACAAATGAGAAGAATCACCTAACCATATGACGAATTTTCCACGTTACCTTCCCATCCCTTCACTTCCCTTATAACCAATTTGCCACACGTATGTTACAAAGAGAAGTATAGAACTAAAGTAAAAAGTCATCATAGAAAATATTTGCATTAAATTTCAAACATATTTGCACAAAATGTCAAAGTTAATCAAACACAAGAAACTAGACATAGTAAATATCCACGCCGTACTAGAGATGGAACCAACTTCGTGTAAGGTTCAGAAACGTGAAGATTAATTGCGTCAACCCAACTGAATATAGCGACAATTGACAGGGTCTACCATCACCATGTCTTTCTAAAGTCAAAAATGTCATGCTACGATAGAGCTTCTCTTTCTTTTTATATTTTCATTTTTATTCAAGAAAATTAAACTAATATCGTGAATAGTCAACAATGACGGGTTAAATGTTAATAGTTGAAAATTGGAATCTCTTACCAACAAAACAAACTCATCAAAAATGATTGGCAAAACCAAAGGGTGACAAAAACAGTGCACATGTAACTCTCAAGTTTCCATTCAATGACTCACCAACTTAGGATACTAAATCATACCCACATAGACCAAGAAACAAGCAAACAAAACAGAAAACAAACGAAAAACAATCAGTGGAAACAAACACTTCCCCACCTCAAAGAAAAAAACCCATGGTTTCTGGCTTTGCTTTCTCCCTACTTTCTGCTCATTTCCCTGCTTTTTTTTTTTTCCTTTTACTTCCCCTTTCCTCTCATAATGACAAGTCCCACCCCCCACTTTCTCATGTCTCTTTTTTTACCATCAAAAAAGGAGACTCTAGGATAGAGAAGAGAGCAATTCAAAGTGAGCATTAAAAGTGGTCTTGACTTTGGATACTCAGCTGAATAATTATTTTCTCTCTTTTAGGTTTTAGTCTTCATTTTGGTGGACCCTATATTTTTTTCCTTGCAACACCACTTTATATTAAATAATTCCTGTGGCTGAGACTGTTTGCCCTTTAGGTCATCAATACCTGTAATCTATAACTACATACTTAGAATTCAATATCTAGCTTCTTCTTACCAGCAAATTGCAATTATTGTGCAAGACTTTTCATCCCTAAAAGCAATTGAAATTGATACTCCCCTGTTTCATGCACTTTCTTTAGTAATCCATTCCAAAATGAATTATACCTTTCTAAATTACGAAACAATTACAAACTTTTATAATTATCACAAGTTTTAAAAATCTTATAATCATACAAATGTTAAGGCCTACAAAATCTTCTCTTTTTTTAAAAACTATACGTGTTTAGTCAAAGTACAGTCATATAAGTTGAGGCAGACAGACTACTATTTTTCTCAATCAGTAGTGATGACTAGTTGACCTTCAAGGGACATACTGGGGAACAAAGGAGAAACAAGCACTAAACTTTAGTAGTAAATACAGATCACGCAGGAAATAGTAAAGAAAATGATAGAAAGCACCAACTCGGAATCTAGGAGCTGTGAAGGGTTTTTAAGTTATTGGTAAACTGCAAGTAGTTCGCCATGTTATTGCCTTCGCATTATTTACCCTTAGAAGTTACAACACATCAGTGTAACTTTTCTAGGTAAAATAGTACAATAGTACAATCAGACTTTCTACAAAATTTCTACTCCTTAAACTTATCCTAGTGTAACTTGAACAGGTCCTATAATCTACTTCTTTAAGCATTTTATAATTTCTTTTTTTATCTTCCTTGATAACTTGTACA